GAATGGAATGTAGTCATTTAGTGTCCTGGCAGAAGGGTGAAAAGGAATTATCCTTCTAAATATCCAAACTGGCAAACACACGCTGGGGAAATATCTGCTCTGAACAAATCTCCTTGGAGAATTAAGATAATGAGTCCTTGCTTCACTTTTAACTCTGGAAGCCATGTTGTCATAAAAAATCCTATGGCCCATTCAGTTGGAAGGGATGGACTAGGGAATAAAATAGGTTTAAGTATAAATTGTCATTTTGGGGAATGTGATTTTTTTTCCATAAAAATTCACAAAATATATATGAGGAAAATTTCCCATCTCAGGGGGGTACAGAGCTGACCAGGAGGCTGTATTTGTTTAATAAAACAACGTATAATGTTTGTTTGTCACCAGACAAACTTTCTAGGCATTTCATTGCTGGAATTGAAAAAAAAAAAGTATATGAAGGGATTATATTATCATATTTAGTGAACATGTAAAACAGTCAAAGCATTATGGATGCAAATATGTACACTAATCCAGAAAACATTGGAGTTCCACTCAAGGGATCTCAAAATAATTGAATTTTTCAAAACACTAAAATCCTTACTGGGAAGCCCTATCTGGCTTTGCAACTAGTAACCCACAGTAAATGAAATATTTTGGATAATACAAAGAGAATTATTTATGATGCTCTTTGTAATAAGGGAGTGTTTTTTGGCTACTATATGAATTGAGTTCAACTTTGTGAATTGAGTGGACCTAACTAGTCTAGCTGAAAATGTGTTACTTGTGGTTCAACCACCATTTAATCTATTTGGGATTTCCTTTTAGTTACTGCATAGTAAATTTGCTCTTTTGACTATCAATCCACAGAAAAATAAATGGCTCACAATCCTTTTCATGGGACTGCACTGTTAATTACAAAATGGACAGAGAAGCCATGTTAATAGGACTGTGTTGGTCATGAGCTTTTTATCCCAACAGATATGTAAATCAAGGCACAATTTCCCCTTTAAAGAAGCCCCATGGTTTCCCTTTTCAGACAACACCCACCAACCTAAAACTTGTGCTGTTTCCTTAATTCTCACTTGTCAATTCCTTCCACTCATTAGAGGGAACAAAAATGTGGCTAAACCTTGTGTCCTTACTAGTAGTTCTCAAAGGTAATTATTTTCCCCCATATAAAGTATATTTCCACATTTTGCTCCTGTGTGCAGGAGATCTCATTAAAAAAAAAACTATTTTCTTTTTAGGAGTCCAGTCTCAAGTCCAGTTGGTGGAGTCTGGAGGGGATGTGAGAAGACCTGGAGAGTCCCTCCGTCTCTCCTGCCAAGCCTCTGGATTCACCTTCAGCAGCTATGGCATGCGCTGGGTAAGACAAGCTCCAGGGAAAGGACTGGAATGGGTGACATCCATCAGCTACAGTTCTGGTACTATTCACTACTCAGACAAAGTCAAGGGCCGCTTCACTGTCTCCAGGGACAATGCCAAAAGCCAGCTGTATCTGCAAATGAACAACCTCAAACCAGAGGACTCGGCAATCTATTACTGTGCAAGAGACACAGTGAG